AAAAAAAAAAAAAAAAAAAAAAAAAAAATTAGCCGGGCATGGTGGCAGATGCCCGTAATCCCAGCTACTCTTGAGGCTGAGGCTACAGAATTGCTTGAACCTGGGAGGCGGAGGTTGCAGTGAGCTAAGACCGTGCCATTGCACTCTAGCCTGGGCGACAGAGCGAGACTCTGTCTCAAAAATAAATAAATAAATAAAATAAGAAGTAAAAGGCCTAGTGTGGTGGCTCATGCCTGTAATCCCAACATTTTAGGAGGCTGAGGCAGGTGGATCACCTGAGGTCGGGAGTTCAAGACCAGCCTGAGCAACATGGAGAAACCCCATCTCTACTAAAAATACAAAATTAGCTGGGCGTGGTGGCTCATGCCTGTAATCCCAGCTACTCGGGAGACTGAGGCAGGAGAATCGCTTGAACCTGGGAAGTGGAGGTTGCAGTGAGCTGAGATTGCACTCCAGCCTGGGCAACAAGAGTGAAGCTCCATCTCAAAAAAATAAATAAAATAAAATAAGAAATAAATAAGAAATGTCAGAGACCAAGATTCAAAACTAGGCACGCAGACATCAAAGTTCATATTCTTCCTCTTGCCCCACACTGCTCCCCCTGTTGGTCTGGAAGGCCTCTACACCCCACGTGCACTGCTCAACTTGCGGAGGGCGCACTTACAGAACGGGCACCAGAGACCCCTCCTCCACTCACTCCTTCATCTCTTGCAGTCATTACCCACTGTTTTGTTCTCCTTCTTTCTTTTTTTGTAGAGACGGGGTCTTGCCATTTTGCCCAGGCTGGTCTCAAACTCCTGGACTCAAGCAGTTCTCCCACCTCAGCCTTCCGAAGTGCTGGGATTGCAGGTGTGAACCACTGCACGGGGCCTAATTTTGTTTTCTTTGGTATCCTCTTCCAAAAGCTCAGCATAGTGTTATACACAGAGAGGACACTGAAGAATTCTCAGGGGGCATCCCTGAAATTAAAAAAATTCAAGTGGTTTCTTCTGAGGGGGAAAAGAGAATTGTTTTATTCTTTTCTTTATTTTTATTTATTTATTTATTTATTTATGAGACGGAGTCTCACTCTGTCGCCCGGGCTGGAGTGCAGTGGTGCGATCTCTGCTCAATGCAAGGTCCGCCTCCTGGGTTCACACCATTCTCCTGCCTCCCGAGTAGCTGGGACTATAGGCGCCCACCACCACGCCCGGCTAATGTTTTGTATTTTTAGTAGAGACGGGGTTTCACCATGTTAGCCAGGATTTTTTTGCCTTTTTATAAGCCTCAATTATTTCCTATTAAATTAAAAAATTCCCTAGGATGTCTCTGAGACCTAGTCTCCTTGGCCCCCACCCCAAATAGTATTTTTTTTTAAAGGCCTGGGGTTAAGATATATTGGTAACCTCCTCATAATGCTAGACCTCAAGAACTTAGGCCACTCAGAAGGAAATCCAGAAGCCCCTCCCATTGGCCCATTCCCAGGAGGCAGAGCTTTCTGTGAGCAGGGAGTGGAGACGTGGCAGCAATGCCCCCCAAAGCACTGTTCCCTCAAATAGATCTGAAGGTGAATGAAGCCTCCTGAGGAGTGGGGTAGGCCAACATGAGGCAAGCTTTGCCAACAAACTCCCTTCTATTGGGAAAGTATTGGGCTGCCTGCGCCCCTGGAGGGAAGCAGGTGTCAGTGCTGTCTCTAATTATACCACCCAGGGCCACCTTGGATGCTCCCCACACTGGCCCAGCTCGGCAGACTCTGGCCATGTCATTCTCCAGATTACAAATGCTCAGCTCAGGAGAGCCCTCCTCCTCTCCACCCTGCTGTGATTCTGAGGCTGGAGAATGCTTTAGTTCTGAGCCCCAAGAGAGAAATGCCCCTCAAGCAGCTGGACCTGAGGCTGATTGGCAGCACTGAGCAGGGCCAGACTCACCTCTCTACCACTGTCCTCTTCCCAAGCCCACTGAGCAAGAGGGGAGGCCGCCTGGCCTTTTGGCCAGTCACAGACCCTGGGCACCTGGAGCAAAACATGGAGCCCAGGAGACACGCATCTGAGAGCTGCCAAGGACACAGGCACACGGCCTGCCACGGCCAGATGGCACAGCACCAGATTGTGAGCATCACATGGGGGTCTCAGGCCCCACTCTGCCACTGTGACTGCCACCAATCTGCTTTGCCTTTCTGGGTTTCAGTGAGCCCCTATATAAGTAGTTACTTCTCTCACAGGGTTGTGAGGAAGAAGGAAGAAAGGGGATGTGTATTAAAGATTACATTCAGAAGGCACTGTGAGTAGTGCTTTGGGTTACCAGGCCACCTTACAGACAGCTTTAGCCAGGTCCCATCTCACTGCGGAATGCCCTGTCCCTGTCATCTCATTCCTTAAACGCATGGAGCTCCTGCTCTCTGCCTGGCAGCGGCAGAGTGCTAGAACTGCTCCCCAGCCGAGCTCATTCATTAATTCAACAGCTCCGCACCTGCTCCTGGGCAAGTACCAGGGATTTAGAGATGAATTAGACTCATCGCCTGCCCCAAGGGCTCTGGCTAGTGGGTACAGATTCATCACTGAGGAAGTGACACAGTAAGACAAGACGGAGCTCAGGGAAGCTTTCGGGAGCATCACCAAGTTGGGCAGAGAGGAATGAGCGGGTGGGAAGCCAGAAGTAGGTTGGTGGGGAGTTCTCAGCAAGGAGGAACTAGGGGCCGAGGGCTTGACAGACAGCAGCAAACTATCCTTTGGCGTCCAGACAAGTCATTCTCTCCCTGAAGGGCAGCAGAGCTCCCAGGAGGGCCATAGGCCAGTGCCCCCAAGCAGACAGAACACACACACACACAGCAGTACGTTACAGCTAGACACACACACACGCACACAGCAGCACCTTACAGCTACACACACACACATACAGCAGCAGCACCTTACAGCTACACACACACACACACACATACAGCAGCAGCACCTTACAGCTACACACACACACACACACACACACAGCAGCAGCACCTTACAGCTACACACACACACACAGCAGCAGCACCTTACAACTACACACACACACACATACATACAGCAGCAGCGCCTTACAACTACACACACACACACATACACAGCAGCAGCGCCTTACAGCTACACACACACACACACACAGCACCTCAGAGCCAGAGAGGAAACCAAGTCCGCAGGTAAAAATTATACTTTTATTTGAGTCACCAGGAGAAAGATTCACTTGTGGTTCAAGTCAAATGTTCAGAATCATAACAGGCCAGAAAGATTTGATCCCGAGCACAAGCCCACGAGGGAGGGGACCAAAACAGACTGAAATGAGACAACCACCCCATATAAAAAGATGAGTGGGCGGCTTCACACACGCACACACATACACACACACACGGATGAAATGTTTGGACAGAGGCAAATTTCACGTGGTCATTTCTGTTTCTTTTTAAATACAGGTTTGTAAGGTGGTATTTTGTTTTTTCCAGCTATAAAAAAAGGCCCAAAAGTGCATGTGTGAGGGGGGAAAGGCAGAAATTAAGCAATAAAGTCATTTTCCCTGGAGGGACATGAGAGGGAGAAAACAGGAGGCAGTGTTGGGAGAACACACTTGGCTCACCACTGGGCTTCTTGTTATTTTTAGTATTGGTCCACAAAAGTTATATTCGCATTCTAGCTTTGATGCCTCTTTCCTAGGATTAAATGAGCTGAAAGACCTCTGTGAACTGTAGAGAAGACCGGGGGCTCAGCCCAGCACAGCCCAGCCCCTCAGGGCTCTGTGCTCTTCTAGGGATGTAATGGTTCTGGTAAGGAACACAGACGCCCAACAGCCTCCGGGTCACTCAGCACCAGTGTGACAGCCCCTCCTCTCTCTGGGGGTGTGTAAGAAAATGGCCCCTATTTTTAGGACAGGAAGAGTAGAGGGAGGGCCTGCAGCAAGATTCCATAACTGGCTTGCCTTATCTGGGAAGGAGAATTAAGCTGAGTGACAACAGGCTGCTTCTTGCTGCTCCTCCCCTCCACTCACCACTCTCCCAAACTCAGGTCCTTTAAGGGGATGTGTCCCTAACCTTTGGTCCCTAAATCCACATTGTGCTTTGAGATCAAGAGGAAACAGAATGCACCAGCGCCACCCAAGACTCCCAAGAGATTCTCTGCCTCCCCAAGCCCCCACATCGCCCAATATAAGATATTCCACTTGCCTCCACCTAGGCTGGGGCCAGAAAGGAAACGGGATGGGTCAGGCAGGGCCTCCCCACCCACAGTCTTTTCCTCAACCTCTCATTTGGGGCAAATATCCCCAAATCAATTAACAAGCAATTGTCAAAAACACCCATGATGACTGATTGTTGAACAGGCCAACACCTTCAGGTCCTGCCCCTCACCTGGGGGTACAAGTGTGCAAAGGGACAAGAGGTCAACGGCGGGGGGGGCCTGGTTGGGCTCAGGGTGAAAATGGGATGGGGACTCCCAGAGGGTGGCAAGAAAACCAGAGATGAAATCAAGTGAGGCCAGGGTTGTCACAGCCACCTGCGAGCAGAAAGCAGGAACCGGATATAGCACCATCTTTCCCTCCCCATCCCGGAGGCTGTGCTTCCAGTTTTGCAGCCCTGGGACCCTCTTTCTTGCTTTAAGGGAGCTTTATGTAAGTGATGGGGAGGTCTAGGGAAAGAGCCCCCAGAGTGAGACACCCATAGGGTGACACTTCTGCCACCCTATTCTGCAGCCCTAGACAGAGATGGGGAAAAATATGCCTGGAGTGACAGAGCCTTCCTCTACCCCTTAGCCCCAGCAGGCTGCAGACCCTGTGGCAGCCCCACCAACTCCACACTAACCTCTTACCTTCCACCCTGCATGCTGCAAAGTGCAGTTTGGTGGGCTTCCTCCACTCAGAGATGGGGAGAAGGAGGAACTTCATTCCAAAAACACATAAGGAACTTCTCTCCCCCAGGAGCCCTCCCCTCTCACTGTGGCTTCTGAGGAAACTCTCGGGGGAAGACGGCTCTTCGTACCCTCACATAACCCCACCCACACATAGGCCCAGAGACACCTACAGACACCCCTGCCCCATCTCTCACATTCACACTGACACACTTGCATGTCAGACACCTGCAGACATACATGCTCCTGCCTCCGCACACCAGGTCTTGGAGGTTTAGTGGTCCTTGCTGGCTTTGTGCAGCTCCAAGTCCACTTGGCACTGGGCTGGGGAGGGGAGGCCACGGAAGGCTCTGAGACATCTTCCCATGAGGAGCAGGGAGGAGCAGCCACCTAACCCAGATCCTGGGGGCTGAGGGAGGCTGAAGACCAAAAGGCCCTGAGGCACCCTTGCCCAATACTTCGGGACCATGGCTTCCAGCCTAGGAGGCAGGCAAGGGTCCCTGGAGACTCCGGGTGGGTGTGGGGAAAGGGGCTGCAGGAGAGAACTCCTTGTTCCCCTCCTTCCGGTAGCCGTCCCTAAAATTAAGAAAGGCAAGAACCTGACCCAAGCGGTGCTTCCTGGGGAGCTCTTTGCCCGCTGCAGGTATGTGTGGGCAGGAGGGCAAAATCACAGTGTGCGAAGGAACGCGTGGGGAGGGGATGAATGCACCCCGCAGCAGGAACCCCGTTCTCCTGTTGTTGCCCCTGAGGAGGGAGGTAGGGAGAGAGACCCCAGGTGGGCAGAGCCCCCTCTCTGAGAAAGAGAAGTAGAGCCCATCCCACTGGTCCCTACACAACGGCAGAGCGCCCGTCGCCATCCCAGGAACCGAGAAGTGGATCCCACTTTGGAGAATGTAGGAAGCCCCTGCCCTGGGGTCCTGGGAGTCTCAGGCTCACCCCAGCCCTGGAATGTGTGGGTATGCGAGGAGCTGGGCAGGAGAACGTGAGGGAAGAGAACAGAGGGCCAGGCGAGGCCCACAGGCCAACAGGTAGGTCTTCCATTCCAGCCCTGCCCCACGGGCCTCACCCTCCCCCAGAGAGGCCCACGCCCGTTCCATCCAGAGAGAAAACCAGGAAGTCGGTCAAGGGGGAAGCCTGCCAGAGGAGGGAGCCCGCGGAAGTGGCAGAAGAAGGCTTCAGTTGGCAAAAGAAGCTGGAAGAGGGGTGGGAATCACAAGCTGTTGCAGGTTTTAAAAAACAGAGACACTGAAGAATGGACGGGTCACGCCCAGGACGGATGCGATGCCGTGGAATGTGCTGAAGACAGATGGGGGCGCTGCAGGTTCAGATGGCCTCCACGTAGTTGGCCGGCAGCATCCCCGTGTCGCCGGTGCGCTCCACCGTCCCGTACATCCAGCCGTCGTCGATCTGCTGCACGTTGATGATGGTGTCACCGTCCTGGAAGGAGACCTCGTCCTCGTCGGCGGCGCTGTAGTCATACACCGCGCGGTACCGCTTCTGTGGGGGAAGTGTGGTCAGCCTAGGGCCCTGGATGCCGGCTCACCTGGGTCTGAGCATTTCTTTCTAACTCTCCAGGACCCTGGAGCAGAGCCTGGGGGAGCAGTGAACTCAGAAATGGAGCACCAGGCTCTGCCACAAAGATTCTTACCTCTGTGTCTTGCTTTCTGAGAGCAATCGATCTTTTACAACCTTTGGCAGCTATTAAGGGCCAGAGGCAGAACAGGGACTGGGTCACATCAGCTCTGCCCCACCTCCCCTGAACAGGACTGCAGTAAGGTCCACCAGCCATGATGACACAGTAATGTCTAAAAATATGACACGCAGGCCAGGTGCAGTGGCTCACACCTGTAATCCCAGCGCTGTGGGAGGCCAAGGCAGGAGAACTGCTTGAGCCCAGAAGTTTGAAATCAGCCTGGGAAACATAGTGAGAACACCGCTCCCCCTTTTTTTTTTGAGATGGAGTCTTGCTTTGTCACCCAAGCTGGAGTGCAATGGCACGATCTTGGCTCACTGCAACATCCACCTCCTGGGTTCAAGTGATTCTCCTGCCTCAGTCTCCCGAGTAGCTGGGACTATAGGTGTGTACCACCATGCCCAGCTAATTTTTGTACTTTTTTGTAGAGACAGGGTTTCACCATGTTGGCCAGGATGGTCTCAAACTCCTGGTCTCAAGTGATCTGCCCGCCTCGGCCTCTCAAAGTGCTAGGATTACAAGTGTGAGCCCATCTCTACAAAAAATAAAAAATTAGTTAGGCTTAGTGGTACATGCCTGTAGTCTCAGCTACTCAGGAGGCTGAGGTGGGAGGATCACTTCAACCCAGGAGGTTGAGGCTGCAGTGAGCTAGCTGTGATTGCACCACTGCTGCACTCCAGCCCGGGCAGCAGAGCATGACCCTGTCTCAAAAAAGAAAAAACAAAAACAAAAACAGAAAAAACATGACCTGTATGCTATTATTTGCATGATTATAAGCACCAGTAGTTTCTTTCAGAAGCCATGATGTGTCCTGTCCAAGTTCAGGACAAAGACCTTTCCTTGGGAGAAAAGTCTTCAGGGGACGTGTCTATCAGGTTCCACCTTCCAAGCCTCAGCCAAAATCTGCTGCTTAAGCCCTAGATCTAGGTAATGTCCAGTAAGGCACACAAAATCCTACAGCATCACCTACTACCAGGATGGAGTTTTAAAAAAGAAGAGAGGAAAAAAAGAAAAAGAAAAAGAAATCCTATAGCTATAGACAACATTCTACCTCCCCTGACCTTCACTGCCCTTGACTTGTCTCTGAGGCTCCACAGGACAGTTTGAAACCAACAGGTCTATGGGATAAGAGGTCACACTTCTCATGAAGTGACCTCAGTCTCTCTCATCACCAATTCTGCCTCTGTCTTGGTCTGAGCCGCTCCCATCCATGCCTGTATCCTGTAACAGCCTCCTGATGGTCTCCCTGGTTCTACCCTTAAACCAGCCTCTTCTCAACACAGCTGCCAGGGTGGTCTTCCAAAAACCTATGTCGCTCTGCACAGATCAGAGGTCCCAGAGGCCTTCCTGGGGCCCACAAGTCCCTGCATAATCGGAACTCTTCCCCTCTCCCACTGGAGTCAATTTGGGTTTCCTGCTGCTCCTTGAACTTTCCTAGAATATTCCCGTCTCAGCACCTTCGCGCTTGCTGTCCTCATTGCACGGCTCACTCTTTCCTTTATTGAGGACTTTGCTCAAATGTCACGTCTTTTTTTTTTTTTTTTCCAGCCGGAGTTTCACTCTTGTTGCCCAGGCTGGAGTGTAAATGGCATGATCTCGGCTCACTGCAATCTCCACCTCCCAGGTTCAAGCAATTCTCCTGCCTCAGCCTCCCAAGTAGCTGGGATTACAGGCATGCACCACCATGCCCGGCTAATTTTATATTTTCAGTAGAGACAGGGTTTCACCATGTTGGCCAGGCTGGTTTCGAACTCCTGACTCAAATGATCCGCCCACTTTGGCCTCCCAAAGTGCTAGGATTACAGGCGTGAGCCACTGCACCCGGCCAAATGTCTTTTTTCTTTGGAGATGGAGTCTTGCTCTATCGCCCAGGCTGGAGTGCAGTGGTACGATCTTGGCTCACTGCAACCTCTGCCTCTCTGGTTCAAGCAATTCTCCTGCCTCAGTCTCCCGAGTAGCTGGGATTACAGATTACAGGTACACGCCACCACACCTGGCTAATTTTTGTATTTTTGGTAGACAGGAGGTTTCACCATGTTGGCCAGGCTGATCTCAAACTCCTGACCTCAAGTGATCTGCCCGCCTTGGCCTCCCAAAGTGCTGGGATGACAAGTGTGAGCCACCGCACCTGGCCAAATGTCTTAATCCAGCTGCTTTCTATCCATCCCTCACCCTGCTGTCTTTCTCTTCACAGCATATCACCGCTGACCTTACCTTATATACCTATTTTCTTACTGCTTTCTTGTTTGTCCCCCTGACTGGAATGTAAGCCCCCAGAGGGCAGGGAAGTGGCTTTATATTCAGAGGTGGACCCCACACATCCAGGACAGACCATTAAGGAGGGAAGGACTGGCTGGGCTGCCTGGAACCTTATCCTTCAGACTAACTCTTGTGCCAGTGCCGCGGGCAGTCCTAACATACCTTTGTTTGTGTGCCCAGAGCATCAGGCTCCAGCCTGCCATTATCTCAGGCGATTTTATCTCTCTAAGTATCTGTTCTCTCCTACGTGAGCTACTTTGAATTCCCAGGCACCCAGCCTGGAGGCGCTGAGCCTGCCAGGAGCTTGGTAAGGGTGGCTCAGCGGCACCCATGGGTAGAGTGAGTGGCAGGACTTATAGATCATTCACTTGCTCTAGGCCTGGCGCAGAGTAGTTGAACCAGAGGGATGCTGCCAGGTCCCCAGCCCAGCAGGGGACACAGAGAAGGTGACCAACACAAAGAGTTCTTTTTAGTTGGAAAAAGTGCTCTGAAGGCAGCCAGTGGAGTTGAGTGAGGCAAAGCATCAGGGTGGTGTGCTCTGCACGGCATGGCTGGGGAGGCCCCTCAGAGGCAGGGGCAGCCTGAGAGCTGAAGGATTTGGGGGCCATCCTCATGACGCGAGGAGAGCAGCGCCCAGGGCTGGAAGGCCCCACACAGAAAGGTGCCTTGTGTGTTCCCAGGTAGCTGGGATAAGGAAACCCCGCCCAAAGCAGGGTGATTGACCTGCCCATGGTACACCAGGGGTGGAATGCAGGGCCCTAGTCCCAGCCAGCCTCTGCCCACTAGGCCAACCAATTTCCTCTCTGCTCATAAGGCTGAGATCCTTATCATCACACACAAGAGTGTGGGTGCAAAGGTCAGGAGAATCCACGAGCTGTGTCCAAGCCTTCCCTGAGGACCCCCTGCCTCTGGCCTCTCCCTCCGGCCAGCGTTACTCACCCCGCCACCACCTGGGGCGCTGCGCTGTATGGAGACTGGGGCTGCAGGCTCCTTGTAGCCACCATAGGACTGGGCCACCGGCTGCTGCTGGGGCTGCTGGTAAACTGGAAGATGGGAGGAGACAGGGCTCGAAAACTGTCCTGCCAAACCCAGCCCCTCCCAGAGCTCCTGAGAAGCCCATACCATGCACTTCGACCCCATCCCCAACCCGGCTCAAGCCCCACAGCTCAAAGGCTGATGTCCACGTGTGCACATCTGCCTGTGTGGTGTATCCCACAGCAGGGGCTCTGAGCCCCATGACCTGGGGGCCTCTCCTTTCAATCCTCTTGGCGCAGTACAGGCCAGACCCTGGTGCTCACGCCCTCATCCTGGATGAGAATGGGACTTGGGGGCTTGGGAAGCAGTCCTTTCCACGCCTGCATGCGTACATGCATGCGTGCGTGCATGTGTGTATGTGCGTGTGTGTGTCTGTCTCTCGCCGGCTTCCTCCCCACCCCAGCTGGTCTGGCCTCAGGTCCTCTGTCCCCTCTTGCACACGAGAGGCTGAATTGCCTGTTGGTTAAGAGCAAGGCTCCAGAAGGTGTATCTGTCTGTCTGTCTTTCCTCTGGCTTCCTCCCCACCCCACTGGCCTCGCCTTAGGTGGTCTGCACCAACAGGCTCTGCACTCACCCGGGGCACTGGTCGGGATGTGGTGAGGCTGCTGCTGCTCCGGGGGCCGCCGGTAGCTGCTGCTTTCCTGGGAATCCCGGCGCTCTGGCTCCATGCCCTCGCCCCCGCTAGGGCCCATGCGGCTCTTCTCAAACTCCTCATGGTATTTTATCTGCAAGGTCAGAAGGCACTGGGTAAAGGATCCCACCGCAAACCACCCAGTTCCTTCCCGTGACCCTCAAGATCCCGGGATGGGAGAGACTCCCCAAGAGCTTTGGGCAGAGAAAGCCAGGTCTTGCTCTGGAAGCACCAGCTATGTGCCCTTGGACAAGCGACCTAACCTTGCCAAGCCTGTTTTCACCTCTGCAAAATGGGACACCAGTATCTCCCTCAGACGTTGCTGGAAAATGCAATGAAATGACCGACGTAAAAGCACCATGAGAACTAAAGGAACTAAAGAATCAGATCAAAGTTTGTGGTCACTTTTCTTTTTTTATGAGATGGGAGTTTTGCTCTGTTGCCCAGGCGGAAGTGCAATGGCATAATCTCGGCTCACCGCAACCTCCACCTCCAGGGTTCAAGCAATTCTCCTGCCTCAGCCTCCCGAATAGCTGGGATTATAGGCGCCTGCCACTACACCCAGCTAATTTTTTGTATTTTTAGTAGAGACAGGGTTTCATCACATTGACCAGGCTGGTCTCAAACTCCTGACCTCAGGTGATCCACCCACCCCGGTCTCCCAAACTGCAAGGATTGCAGGCATGAGCCACCGCGACCAGCCAAGTGGTCACTTTTATATGCCTGCGGCGGAGGCGGGGTCTGCTCTGTTTCTGCCCTGATCAACAGTAACAACAGTAGCAGCGGTTTACTGAGTTCTTACTGAGTTCTTACTGTGCTGGGGCTGTGCTAGGCATTTTATGTCACAGGCTCATGTGAGCTCGCCAGCGCCCCTGAGGGGTAGATTGCAGACCCCATGTAACAGGCAAGAAGGAAACGAAGGGATTGATAAGTGAAGTGAGTGGCCCAAGATCACAGATTCCAGAGCCTGGCTCTTTATCAACAGGCGATTCTGCCTCTTGTGTGCAAGATGTCGCGGGTGCTACAGTCTAGGATGATGCTCTGCTGAGAACCCCAGGCTTTAGGGACAAAAAGTGCCAGACCCTCCCTGAGGGTGAGACATTGTCTTGGAGATGGGCTCCTTCTCGGGTCAGGTTCCAAAAATGGCCAGAGAGGCCCAAAGAAGTCACATCCCTCAGGAACACCCCACTAGGCAGGCATGTGAGGCTCCAAGCCCGCAAGTCAGTCTCTTGCCCCCACAGGGCAGTACTGGCTACAGAGACCCCCACCTTGACCACCACCACCCAGGAGTCTGGAGCTGGACCTCATGTTGTTTGAGGGCTGTGACTGTGCCTGCCTGGGGCTGGCTGCATTAGCCATCAAGGTCAGGAGGGCAGGGGAGGCAGGTGCCCACCAAGCCAAGTCGGGGAGGGGAGGGAAGCTGCACTCTGCCTAGACCCCTTGGGTGCTGTGGCGGAGGACTTGTCCAGTCTGGGGGAACCAGAGACCCTGCTACCTCCATCAGAGACCTAAGCAGGGTCAGCCAGAGGAAGCCCCACCCCCACTACCAGAAAGAAACCTCAGGGTCAACTGGCCCATTTGTGTCCAGAGCCTCAGCCCCAGCTCAATCCTCTTAGCCAACTGAGTCAGAGAGAAACGGTCGTTCATCCACCTTGTCGTCTTCAGGCTGAGTCCCATAGTGGGACCAGAACACCGGCCTCGGTGTTGCCTGCTAGATTCAGATTCTGATCGGCCCCAGGCTTCCTCCATCTCCCAACCCCCATGGCACCTTCTCTGGACACCGGTCTTTCCTCCTCTCAGGTCTGAAAACTGTCCAGATGGCCTTCTGGGGCTGCCCCAGACTCCCAAAGACAGGCCTGCCAAGGTCTCCTAGATCTCAGCCTAAGAGCCAGACCCTGGAGAATCACGGGTGACTCCCCACGCTTGCAGCACCCTGACCTTGTGGCGTCCTGACCCTGTGGCAAACAGATCCTGCGGCACCCTGGCCCAGTGGCACCCTGACCCTGTGGCACTCTGGCCCTGTGGCAGTCTGACCCTGTGGCACCCTGGCCCTGTGGCAGTCTGACCCTGTGGCACCCTGGCCCTGTGGCAGTCTGACCCTGTGGCACCCTGGCCCTGTGGCAATCTGACCCTGTGGCACCCTGGCCCTGTGGCAATCTGACCCTGTGGCACCCTGGCCCTGTGGCA